TTTTTTTTTTCTTAAATCTTCATTTAGCTGGTTTGAAATGAGGTCATATTGTTAAACGTACCCTTGATCTTTATGTTATTCATAGCAAGAAACGTTTTGTAGAGATTGGATCTATACTTGCAAAATACGTTGATAAGGTCAAGATCTTTCACGCACTTCTAAGGTTTTTGAAGGTAACTTTAACATTCGCTGTTCTCTTTCTTAAAATTGATAGGATTTATAATTATTGAAGTAATGTACTCCTAATAGATTCTCCTGGTGTTCATGTAGAATGTGTAAATTTGGAAAAAATAGAGATGGAGCCTCAAGCCAGCTTGTAGATTCCTAGTGGCTCAGATGTCTAACCCTGGGAAAGAAGAAAGGTCTGGTTAAAGTAAACCTCGCGGGGTTATCCGAGTTGAACAGATATTCCTAGTACTATGGAACTATCGGCCATTATATCATGCTAGGAGCTCAGTGTGGTAGACAGTAAGATGTAGTACATTTCAGGTATATGTTTGCTCTAATTTAGAACGGGAAAACTGGAAAAAAGCTGATGGAAGCTGATAGAACCTGTATCTGCTATGTAGAGACGTTTGTGCAGTAAGCACATAGAATTAACAATTTGGGCAGTACTAAATGTGGGAATATTATGTAATTTGTGCAGTATTCTAGAGCCCCAGTTTTACTTTCCATGAGCTGCAAGGACTTCAGTTTACCAAAGATGCTTCTGAGTGAATAACCTGTGTTATTTTAGGTTCTTTTTTTTTTTTTTTTAATTAAAGTTCTCTAACTTTTGGCTTAGAGGTTTTTTTCTTCTACTTAGATGTTGACATAGTGTTAGTGGTATAAAGATGATCTTTCTTATTCTTACAAACTCAGTTGTGATATTTGTTCTATTGATTTGGGGGAAGTGGAAGGAAGAGGACAGAGAGTTCAAGAGAAATACTGTTATCTAGAGTTTCTGACGTTGAGGGAAGAACTGGAAAATAACTGTTAGTGTTTCTAACTCTATTTAAACCCCACCACCACCCTCAATAACTTTTCCAAGCATAGACTACCCTTCAGACAAAAGAACATGCATCTCCTCCTCTTGAATTTAAGGGAGAGAAGGTTTTATGAAGGAGGCTAACACTGTCAAATGTTAATTTGTGGTACACTTGGAATAGTAGTGTGATTCTGTATATAGAATGTGGGCACAGTATATAAGCACCTGTTGGCGTAAATATTTAAAATACAGTTGCTAGCCCAGTTTCCACTTAAGAGCTTTAGAAAACTAGAAAACTTGTATTTATTATAGATACTTGTAATATTTCGTAACGTGGAAATGGCCAAAATATCGAAACTGGGGGGAGAAGAAAACCTCTTAAAATACAGCTAATGTTAAATGTTAAAATGCAGTAGCAATTCTAAAAACAAAACTGCGTAACTACATTGTTTTTGTAGTTCTGAAGTTTACGTTGGTGATTTGGACACTCTGGTTTTAGCTTCTTTGTTACTATGTGAATCTTGGCCACGTAATCAACAGCTCCATCTTCCTCTAGTCAGTATCTGAAAATTGATTGTTAATCCATTTGTAAAGTTAAAATGGTGCCCACCTGCCTTTGAACAACCCTGCGATCTACAGATGAAAAGTGCGTTCACATGAAGGGCGCTGCTTATTTATTGTATGAGAATGGCTGATTTCTCTTTGTGTTTTGAACTAAAACCAATCTGTACAACCACATTTAAAACCTGGTTGCATGTTATGTCAAAAGTTCTGATACAGATCTGCAGATCAGCCACTTAGGAAACCATCGCGCTGCTCTCAACAAACAAAACAACAAAAATGTACCCGAAACTCTCCATACATGTCAGGGAAGTATTTACTTGAAACCATGTTATTGTAGTCATCACAGTGCTGAGTTTTGAACAAACTACATCTACAGATAGTTCTCAGGAGCAGTAAACTTTCTATTTTACTCCTACTGATCAGTGTAGAACACGTGATTTGTGTTTATTTTTTTCTAAAAAGCAAAAGGAAGATGTTTAGACCATGCACAAGGTCTGCCTGCTAAAACTCCTTAAGTCAGCTATTACAATAAATACTACTAATGTTGTCTTTTCGTTTGTCATTCAAAAACTTTACCTTGTTAGGCTGTTAGCATGCTTCTCAGTATCCTGTTTTTATCCTGTAAATCTATTTTTGTAATTGAGTTTCTCTGCTTGACAAATATTTTCTTAATGTACCTGTGTTCCAATCCATGTAGTAACAGTTTGCAAAACACTTGGCAGGCGTCCCAAAATAGTTACGTTTAAAACTTCCTTATAAAAGAAACTTCACTTCTCCTCCCGTGTGACGTACAGAGAGAGAGAAACACAGCCCTTGCCCCAGGGGATTTACGATAAAAACATTTCAGTTTTATGTCAAAACCTAAGTGCTATAGAAATGTGTGCAAGGTCAGCTAAGGGTTTTACTTCCATTTTAGTGTTGTACAGCAAAACTGTAGTTCAAATTATAGCTTGCTTCCTTTGCCACACTTTAAAATTACCTTCCAGGTCCCTTCCCTAAGAATCATAATCATGGATAGACCAGTGTCATCTGATGTTCCATTTAGCAAATAGACAAATTCCAAGAATACTAATGAGAACATGGTTTAGAGGAAAGACTGTGTCAGTGTCTGATTATCTTAGATGTGAAAGCCAGCACGAGTAGCCAGGCACTGAAAGGAGCAGTATTGTTCAGGCAGTAGATGTTTGGAGCAAGGTTATAGTACCAAATTTTGGTCATCCCAGGAAGGCTGCATATCATGGTTTGGAGTTTTTGGAGCCTTGTATTGAGAGGGTAGAGTAGGCTGGCCCTTGCTGAGTTCTGAAGTTAATGCATGCTGTTCCATCATTTATGGATTCTTTTTCTTAATATATCTTACCATATCAGAAAAAGAAAAGGAGGAAGCTGGGTTTAGCAATTATTGCCACCTTTTCCTCTCCTTTGGTTGTGTGTACTGTTCCGTGAGTACATCAGCAGACTTCATAAGATGGTTGAAAGCTGCACTGCGATGCATAATAAATTTCTACATGACCTTCAGTCTGGTGGGATGGACAGGATTTCACAGATGGATATTAAATATTGCTGGTTATGTCTACTGCATACTATTCTACTTTTCTAAATATACCTAACTGCTTTCAGAGTCCAACGTCATTTTAGAACTTTCTCCTGAAGTGCTCTTAAATTCACTGTCAGTTTGTTCAAGGGTTTGTCCTGTGCTTAGGACAAAAAAGCTGAGAGGGACTTTGCTCTTGGTACTTCCTCATGCTGGAAAAAATTTCTCTGTGTGTGTGTTAAATCTCTGGAGACTTGACCAATTCATGTGCTGTCTGCAGTTGAGGATAATGCTTTTCTTTATCATTGTCTCTCCAAGTTCAAATGCATTCATCATACTCTATTTGCAGGATACGTGCTTTAGAATAGATATTTGCTTGAAGTGGATATATTGGAATTACCTTAAATAGCTTTTAACTGTAAACTGTCTTGTTGTTCTAATTCCTACTTTTAAAATAAAGGCTTTTAAAACTATTTGTGTTTCTCTCTTGTTTTTTCAGGGAAAAGTTCACCTTGAATTAAAACTGAATGAACTGATAACAGATAATGGATCTGTGTGCCAGCAACTAGTAGTACAGTAAGAAAATAAATTAATCCTTGAATATTTAGTTGTTTGTTAGAACATTATGTGATTTGTCTCTCTTAATACTGAATGTCTGCACATCCTGGTACCAATAACGTTTTTCTTTTTATATGACTTTCCTCAGAGCCTATCTTGCTGAGGGAATGGGTATATGCTTAGGGAACTCCTGCAGAAGTTTTTCACAACTGCTCATCTCTGTTGCTCCCAAAGCACTCGCTTTTATTAGGACTCAGCATGGCTATCTGGTATCATTAGTTCAGTGTCTTGTAATTCCAATTGGGCGTGGTGAGAAAGCTAGGAATGCCCACTGCAGCTTACAGCCAGAACTTGCAGTACTGCTGTTACTGACAGAATTGAGCTGCTAGTGGTGGTGTTGGGAACAGCGTGAAACTTTTTCAGTAGTAATATTTTGGTTTGGTATGTGAAAATCCACTTGTAGTTTTGCTTCAGAATTACTTTCTCGTAGTTAACCATGATAAGGAATGTTTATAGAAAAACAAAGTACAGGAGTTGCTGTTTTGGAGCAGCATGACGTTGCCACATTTCAGTAAAATTTCTTAGCGACAACTTAAGGAGTTTTCATCTACCAAACTTAATTTTGACTCCAAAATGTATGACTCCAAGTGTAAAGACATTACAGCATGTCAAAGAGCCTCATAGAAACAGTAAATTTTTGGTATATGTTATTTCAAAAAAGACATATTTCATTAATATTAAAGAAAAAGCACAGAATGAGACATATTGGAAGATACTAACCAGTCTGTACTCTTGTATTGTTACTCTTAGAGCCGTGTTTGATAGTGATCCGGTGTGATGGCTTTGGGAGTCTGAATATACAGGTTACAGACGTTAGTCACAGGAGACCAAAATTGTACATGTACTCGTCATTCTGTTTCTTTTTATTCATTATTAAGCAACACATTTAAGGCCAGAAATGGGCAAGAAGCTAATGCAAATACAGCTATACAAAAATGTTTTGGTACTCTCATAAAAAGTTCATCTGATAAAGGCATACTAGAAGATACCGGTCTCTCTAGAAACTAATCCTATCCTTTATTTTGGAAGAAGTCTGACAACCTTCTATGTTACTTGCCTCTGGGAGACTGCTTTCATTGAAAACACCAGTGGAAACCAATGACTTGGAGACTCACTGAGATTGACAGCATTCTCTTGAGACTCTTCTTTACCTTCTCAGCATGAGTAAGGTTCAGGAGAACAAGCCAATCTTCCTGCAGTTTTCTATTTTTAGTGCTTCAGGAAGAAATAAAGGCTTTTCTGCACTTGCCTCCTAAGAGGTTGTGGGACAGGCCATGTGAAGAAAAGGGTACAGACAAGGGGGTTATAAAGACTAAGGGAAAAGTAAGATTAAAAATTCAAAATATAGTAAGATTCTTTAATTTTGCTTTCCAACATTGTTCATTAACTTATATTTTTATTCAGAGAGTGAGGTGTTTTTGTTGGTGGTTTTTTTTTTTAAATCTTCTCTGAGAATTTAGTTTGAAGGAAAGGTTGTATTGCGAAACTGTGAGGGGAGGAAACTGTGAGGGGAGGTGTGGTCTTCCGTTTGTCTCAGTGACTTGATGTTCAGATCAGCTCCAGGGAGCAGGGGGAGACTATTACACTGTCAGTTTTGCTAATGTAATTTTCATTATGAAGTTTAAGTTACATTCTTTCTGTCTTAGTCAACTGTCTAAACCAAGATGAGTAGTTTAGTTGGAGCAAGACCTGGCAAAATAATCTCTTTGCTTTTGTGTGACTTGGTATGAAAAGGGAAGCTAGTTCTGTGATAGACCTAAGCCAGTGAAACTGGTAATGCTTTAGTGGGTATTGTAGGCTGATAATTCAGGTAAAATACGGCAACTTGCTGTACATCAGTGTATATTTATAACTTAAAGATAATTCTGAATGTGTTTCTACTTGTATAGTGGGTGGCAGCATGGTTCATTGCAAGTCCTGCTGCTCTTATTTTTGTATCCCACTTTCAGCACAAGGCAGAATTAGAACAGCTTTTTCCCCATGGACTATTCACCACCAAAAGCTGGCTGGAGCTTTATGACTTTGAGTTTTATTCCCAACTTAACTTTCTGATAGATTTTTTTTTTTAATTTATTTTTTTATATATCCATGCACTTTATTTTTTAATTGTTAAAACATGTTTGGATTTTTCGTATGATGAAGAAAAGTTGCTTTAGAAAGTTACTGTTGCAGATTGCAGTTTTGAGTAGGAAGTGGGTTACTCACTGTGCCCTCTCTTAGGATCTCTTTATGACGGAGATAAATGATCAAAAGGAAGCCAAGGTTCTCTCGTGGTTGCTGTACTCGCCCACTCACTGACATGTGGGAGAGGATTGTGCGTTAAACACTGCAGTATTACATCAGTACTTTTGTCTTCATCTGAGATTAAGAAATGCACTAGAGTTCCTTAAACTAAAAATGTTTACTAGTATTTTATCACACATGCTGATAGCCTTGAAATAACTGGCTGTATAAGTAATATATTCTACATAAATACATTTTTGGATGTACATGTGAGAGTATGAGAAATAAGAAATCTCTCACTGGATATAGCATTACAGAAATGGATGAGGGCATTTTTGAGACCCTTTTGATCTTAAATCACGAGGAACTTACAAAAAACACATGTGAGATTCTTTACCAGAAAATTTCAACTCTTTAGAAGTCTGCTTATTTTGTAAATTTCTGAGGATAATTAGTGATGCACTTTCTGCTATGTTTTGTTAGTCACCAGGCCCTGAGAAGTCATTGTATTGGTAACTCCTTTAAAAAAGCTGAAAGATAGGAAGTAGCAGAGCTGTGATTGAGTGAAAAAGACAGAGTGGGCATATATGTGTATTTCTGTCCCTGCCTCTTCTCGATCTATCCAAAACTGAAAAAGTATTGGCCAAAAAAGGAAAAAAAAATTCTTAAAATACAGGCTATAATACTTGCCTTTCAGAGCCATGTTTTGCTTCATGTCCAAATTAATGGTGTCTCGATGTAATGAGACAGGGAAGCTTTTAAACCTTCACCAGTTACATTTTTTGTAGGATAAAAGAATTCTAGATACTTGTGCTGGCTTCTGTGCATAGGTAAGTTTCTAATGGATTTCCACCATGTATTCCCAGTCCAGAAGGTCTACAAAGATGAAAAATAGTAGCTATAACTTTCACAACACAAGATTAAAGATCGTGTTAAGCGCACAGACAATAGCAAGTAATTCAAGGGCTGTGATTCTGAGCGTTATCTGGAGTCCTCCGTCACCTTTTTTTTGTGGCTGAACCAAAGCGATAGGATTAGACCTGACTAGGAGATGGATTCATATTGTTTTGGTTCTGTAGACATGGTTGTATAAGCTTTTTTTGCTGGTCTTCTATATGGGTTTTATGATGAGGATTGATTTAAAAACTGCAGGTAATTCCAGTAGGAATTAAAGTTAAGGAAAGTTAAGGATTTGGACAACAGAGAGCTGATGATGTTAGCCTCTTACAGCTAATGTGGGAGGGAGGAAGGCTTCATTTCTCATGCTAGTATGTGTAATAAAACCCATCTTTTCCAAACAAATTGTTGGGAAAAGAACATGTGATTTCAGAAAGATAAGTGTTGCTGCATATGATGAAAGGATGGTCAGTTGTCCTATAATGAAACCAAGAATGCGATTCCTCATGTTTCTTTCTTTGTCCTCTATCCCCCTGCCAACCCCCTTCTGTTTTTGTTTTTAATTTAGACCCTTATTAGGGCTCTATTCCCCAACTTTATGTAAGGGAAGTAAGCTTGGGGAAGGATAAATATTAATATATTGCAAATTATGTTTGTATCAGCGAAGCTGTGGATAACAGTCAAAAAAACCCCTCACTTCTTAAAAACTGGAAGTTTCCTTCTTTTGCTCAAGTTGACAAAAAGTGGTCACACACAAGACATACCACAACTGACTGATCTAGTCTTGCTTGATGCTGGGGTTGGGGGGAGGGGAGGAAAAAAAAAAAGCGGGGGGAAAATGGTGGCCAGTTTTCTTAAGGTGGGACTTTCTGAAGCCAGCTGGGGCTTTCAGGTTGTATAAGCATTCTAAAAACATGATATTGAAATACATTTTTCCCAGGAGAAGGTCAAATTAAGACTTGTAATTGCTTATCTTAAGTCAATGAAGCCCTTACACTTTTTTTGAAATACAAGCATAAAGTTAATCTTCCTTTGGTGAAGGGCTGTCTTAGAGACCACTTACAGTGGGCTAAGCCCTGATTTTACACATAATTTTTGTATTAATTGTATAAGTTTTGTATTAATTGCTATTAAATTTAATGCAGATACACCCACAGACCATTTCGGAATTAAAATTTTGTCTCCAATTCTAGTTGTTTCCTTTTCTAATGTGTGAATGAGGAGGGGAAAAAGATAATGCAATAGATTAACTGCTGACTCAGTGTGGGCTCTTTTTTTTGAAACCACAATGGCATGTATAGTAGCACTTTTCAAAAATACATGCTTGCAGCTCTCCTTTCTGGGAGTCTGTAAAAACAAGTTTGCATATTTGCTGCTGCTGAAACAGATGATACTTGAACAGTTTCTTGCCAAATTAGGCTATTGGATGGTAGTACTTGCCTTCTCTGTGTTTAACATGACTTCAACTCTGAAAGAAACAGTTCTATGTATTTACAATGTGAATACTTGAAAGCCCAGAAATGGCTTATTACAGCTAGATTTTGTCTTTTTTTTTTGCACTTACTTTTCTAATAAATTATACACTATACTATCTTAAATTGACCTGTCAGTTTGTTACTGTCCTGTTTATCTGCTCGCATGAAGTCATTCGAGGGAACATAACAATTTTTATGAAGTGTACAAATCTTTATGATTGCAGTTATTTAGTTTCGGCACTTGGAGGACTTGAGTTGATTTGAATGGTGGAGGATAGAGTCCCTCAGTCATCGAGGGGGGTTTATTGTGGGCTGTGTCTTTTTAAGGACTTATTTCCATCCTACGAACTGAATATATGCCAGTTGTATCTGAAAGGCTCGTATTTCCTGTATGAAACTCCTCTTGCAGAACAAAGTACTGAGATGTGAAGCAAGAATTAATGTAAACTGAAAGATTTCTCACACTGTGCCATAACTGATCAGTAGTTTGAGAAAAGAACAAAAGTCCTTCTGCTAGCTATTGCTTAGACTTTGCATAAAGATGTAGCAGTTTAAAATGTAAAATAAAAGGCTTCTAAGTTCCTGCCTACTTCTTCAAACTCTATGCATTTATGCCTTTTGAATGAAAATTCCTTGTGCCAGCCTAGGTAGATGAAACCATTTGTCAAAGCTGAGATATTTACCGTATGGTGGAAATGTATTTATTATGGTTGTCAGAATAGGAATGTATATTTAGTGTTATTTTCTTTTTTGATGGGTCAAAGTGTTTGGGGGGTTTTTTGTTGTTGTTTTTGGTGGGGTTTTTTGATTGTTTTTTTTCCTGTTGTAGAAGATTGCAGTTCTAGCACTTTGGCTAATTCTTTGGGGAAGGGCAGTATTCCTGTGAGATTTGCTAGCTGGTAAACGTGTTGAGGTTGCACTTTTCCATTTCTGTTAAGTCTACTCTAACTGAGCCACTTCAAACATCTTCAGAAATTTTTAAACATGTTTAACGGAGGCTGTTTGTTTGGTAGCTTAAAACTATATGCAATAATTCAGTCTTGTGTATTTGATCCCGAGGGAGTAACAATCCAGTTTGATAGTGCTGAGTTGATTTAATGGCTTCCTACCCTTAATGACTACTTGCTTCGCACTGCCTGTGGAGCTTGTGAGATCTTCTGCATGACTAGGTTAATTCAGGTTGTCAAACTGACTGAAAACTGGCTTCAAATCTAAATAGCTTTCTGTAAGGTTAGTCATAGGTGATAGATGCAAGGCAGGAGTGTAAGAGGAGGAGGATCCACCATTTCGGTGCAGTTTAGTTGACTTAGCTGTGCTGCCAGATAACGTGTCTAAAGCAGACTCCGGGCAGTAACTGGAGAGTTAAGGGATGGTTATGGCTGGCTAGCTTAGAGGAGAGGATGGAAGGGGAGGAGGTGAGATAAATTTGGAACAAATTCTTGAGCCTGATGGGTCTGAAAAGGAAAGATTTGGGAATATTAGGAGTCAGGGGGGCTGGGATATTGTTTGTTTTTTGAGATGTTGGAACAGAGTAGGCTGTCTAAGCTAGGTAGACCTTACTTGCTGGCAACAGAACTGGGACTTGGGCAGGAGATGAAAAGGAAATGCTAGAGCTGCCTACACGGGGAGACTGACTGGAGCATGAAATCAGCTTGAAGTGACAGATCTATATGATGAATCCGGAGATTCTAGTTCTGCTACAAGGCTGTGTAGTTATCAGTAAAATGTTTTTCAACTTGCAAGAAATCACAAACAACTCTTCCTTTAGTTTGTGTACGTTGTGGTCAAGCTGTAAGAAGATGGGGGGCCAGAACAAGCTGTTTCTGTAACCAAAAGTAGGGCATTGTGATCAGTTTTTCTTGATACGATAATACACCTTTTCCCACAGGATCATTATGTCAAGTACGCAGGTCATTCATACAGTGATCAGGGAAGGAGTGAGAAACTTCATACATCGGTAAAGAAACTGCTTTCTGTAGGACTTATATCTGTGGGACTTACATCTGTTTGCTAGAGAAATCCAGGAGCTTGGAGAACATGACACAGGCTGTAGGAAGAGAAATTGTGTTGTTCTTGTTAAAATAGTTGAATTCTATCCAGATAAGTTTGACTTGATCCATCTGCTATGAATTTCCTATGAGATTCAAGTTGAGGCTAACTTGCAGATACACTCAGAACTCGCACCTGAAACCAAAAATCTCTGGGAGCTGCAGAGACAGCATGTTTAGTGCTACAAAATGCCTGATAGTCTGAAAGAATCAAGCCCTAGCTGCCTCAAATCAGATACCCCAAGTGGCTGAAAAGGCTAGACAGTTTAATTTTGTCGCCACTCTTCTATGTCACGTATGTGTTGGAGGAGGAATCAATTAATGTTTATGAAACAACTGGATGTTTCAAGAACCCATTTAAATGGTGGGTTTGAAATCACTGTAGGGTTCATTGTGATTCAAAAATTATTGAAATGCTGAAGGCCATGTGCTTGGAAACTGGAAGAAAAATAACAAATGATTGTGCAGTGGTTCAGCACTAAATGTTCCCTGAACTGGCTAAGACAAAGGGACTTTTTTGGGGGAAAATACCATCTGGTTTATAATCGTGCATGCTCCGAAGAGGGTGGAGTTTTAACACTGTTTTTCTACAGTACAAAAAGCATTTACTTAACAACAGTGAGTAGCTACTGTTGCTGCTATGTAACTTTAACTTGAGTTGCACAACTTCTATTCCAGGTGGAATCATAGAACCATTTAGATTGGAAAAGACCTTCAAGATCATTGAGTCCAACCATTAACCTGGCACTGCCAAGTCCAAGTGTTGCAGATGTACAGTCTGAGTCTCCCCTTTTATAGTATTAGAACATTTACTTGACGGTCTATTTTCTCCTTAAGTTACATACGTTTTTTTATTCAAACTGGCTAATTATGGCAACCAAAACTTACCTGCATTAATTTAGTTAAATTCCTGCAATACATTATTTTAAAATAGATTATTTTTAAAAGAGAGAGCAGGAATATAACATTCAGATCTCATTTGTTCTTACTTGTTAATGAAATTTTGTAATCTGCTGAATGTTGCTAGACTTAATAAATACTGCAGTGTGCATGGCTACATTAGAGCATAATTCTGCTAGAAAGTCTGGTTTCTGCTGTAAATTTACAAACTGTTTTGCTTTACTTTTGTTGTTCCAGCTGTTTTTAGTTAATACTCATATGTGGGCAGCATCTGAAGGTTAGTTAGCTTGCTGACCCAGCTCTGTTTCTAGTAGTGTTGCTGCTGTGGTGATTCAAAAAGATTGCAAGTCTTCAGAAAAGGTCCAGAAAATGTGTCTCTGTCCCCATGAGCATTACTTTCTAACCATCCCGTCCCTTTTGCATCAGGAGTGGTGAACAGTGTGCCTATGTACCTGTTAAACACCAGCTTACAACTTACTGTATGAATTATGGAAGAAAACAGTATTTTTAAAAGGGCTGTTTAACCCTGATCATGCACTATTGTGAAAAGAGTTTGAAAATAAACTTTAAACACTATTTCAAAGGTAAACTGATTTTCTCTTTGTGGCTGAATAGTATGGATGGAACCTCAACATGCTAAGGCTATATACTAATAGTTTTGGATGCTTAATTTTAAATAACATTTTAGGATATGACTTTGTATTTCGTAGCTTACTCAACTACTCAGAATGTAGTTTAGCCGAAACGAAATATTTAAATCCATTTTAATGCCTTCCAAATGTAGTTGCTGCCATGTGGATGAGGCCAAATAGCACTTTGTGGGCCTTGAGAAGTCAAATTTAAAAGTTAATGAAGTATGCATTTCCCCTAACGTAGCAGTTCATTTTACTTAGGATTTTGCCATGCATGTGTGATACTGGAATGTCTTATCAAAGCAGTTCCAAGAATTTTGTTCTCACGGAGCCCCCTAAGTCTGACTGTACACTTGAGTATTACCTTGTATTACCATCCAGAGATCTGTAGTTACGATCTACTTCATGTACATACATTACATTGGATCAATGTATATATCAGTGTGTAATACAGCAGGACTTAAAAAAAATCTTTTAAAAAAGAAAGGATTGTTTGGGGTTTATTTTTTTAAGCCAAAGACATTGCTTTACTGATCTATTGATTGCCTTTTCCTTGTAGCATAAAGGAGTGCCACGGGTTGCCTCTTATAAATGGACAGAATTGTGATCCTTACGCAACAGTCTCTCTTGTGGGGCCTTCCAGGTAACATTTTAGTATAAAATTAATGAATCTAAAATGCTGTGATCTTAAACTGGAAAAGAAAATCATAGGTTTTAAGCAAAATCTTTAAAATATAGAAAAATCTTAAAATGCTTTCTGCGTACATCACATCTTCCGTTGTCCTCTCCCCTTCCCTACCATACTCTCAAATTGTGAAGGTGTTTGAATGGCCTGCACTAATCAAGAACCACTTGTCACTCAGTTCTTTCTTTCTTCTCAGGTTTTGTACTGGACTCTTGATATCTGCACTGTACTTCCTATTAATTTTTGTCAAATTCCTGTATGGGACAATATAGTCAATTGCTCAGCCGCCTTCCTTTGTTCCCCGTTTTTCTTAATGCGTGAGGTTTTTTTTAGCAAATGTATAGCAATTGGGCGGAAGCAAGAGAGTAGAGCTTCTGGTGAGACCTTTCTAATGCCAGCACCTTCAGGATGCTACTGAAAGTCCCCACAGTTTAAATGTCTCCTTTTTTTGGATCGTTAATCCTGAATAACCGTTGGGGTTTTTCATTTAAGGAAAACCCCATATCCCACATGTTCACCATCTGCAAGTCCCTGCCCAGTAACATCTAAAGTCAGCTAGGTTTCGGTTGTTTCATTTTTGCAACATGAAACCTAAGTCCACTACTTTCTCTGGTACTGAAGAATTGCCACTGTGAGCATAGTACCAGAACGTCTTCTAGCAAACTGGCATGTTTTAAAGACTTTGGAAGGATTGTCCCCGAGTAAGCTCTGAGTGAACGGGGCATTTTTTCCTCCTTGGTAATACATGATCACATTTTTTTAGGTTTAGGTTGGGGTTTTTTTGGTGGGTGTTGTTTTGTTTTGGTTGGTTGTTTTTTTTTTTTTTTTTTAAGAGGACTAGGGAGATTCGACCATTATACCTAGGAAGCATGGTGTTGATTGCCAAAGCAGGTAAATTGACATATATTTCCTATTTGAGTCCTGCGATATAGATGGAACTGGGTGAATGTTGGTCCCACACAATGTTTACCCTGTTGGCATGGGAATATATGTGCAAATCTGACAAGTTCCTGGTTAAGATTTTCCAATGTCATGCATGTGTGACTCATGTACCATGACTGAAATATTTATATGGCCAGTGCCTGAAAACAGTTGATGTCTACGACAATTTTTCTTCTCCCTCGTCTGTTTTTCCCCCGCATTTTGTATTTCTCTTAGAAAGCATTTTTATACTAGTCATAACCCTTTACTAACTCAATAAGACTGTTCTATTTTATAAAACATATAAAATTAAAAAAAAAAAAATTATATAAAACACAAGGGAGGAGGAGCAATTGTTTTGTTTGACCCTATGCTATTTAGCATCTAGCATTAGCAGGAATTCCTTCCAAAGGAAACATGCAGTGGCTTGGTGTAAGCCTCTGTCTGTAGTGGGTATTTCCCCAACAGAGGGTGGGAAAAACAGAAATTGGCCATTGAACAAAACGAGGAAAACTGTGCTTGTAGCCTGCAAGTAGTGGTAAAAAAATTGTCTGCAGACTTAAGTTTGAAACGCTTTAGAAATTTTGATATATTTTACTTGATATGTGTAAGTTATACTCATTTGTGAAATGAAATAGAAGCCTATTCAGGCTGGACAGATGAATGATTAACTAGATACAGCACTTGAAATTTTAGCTTTTCAAACTATGTTGTGAAGATGAACTAATTTTACTTTAAGATTTTCTTAATTGATCAAAGTGATCTCTAAAATGACAAAAAAATGTTTTAACTTAAATGCATGGCTCCTTCTTGACAATAGAATGTCTTTAAAATTGTCTGTTTAAGTTGTCTATGGTAAAAAATTTTACCACATTGGAACAGGAATGACCAAAAGAAGACCAAAGTAAAGAAGAAAACAAGCAATCCGCAGTTCAACGAAACATTTTATTTTGAGGTAACTTTTTTGTGTAGTATTGTGCCTATTTATCTATTTTATGCAATCCTTCAAATGTTAAGCATAATACATTTGAGGCACATGTGATAGTTGCACTACAGTTCAGCTGAGAGTTGGAAGTAGTACGACTATTACACGTGCCTCAAATGTATTATAATTTACTGTGTTTATATAGATCCTGGTCGTGCTGTGGGACTTCAGTGAGAAATTCTTCCATACTTACGTATAGAGTATCAACATGTGGCGTGTGTTTCAGTTGACCTGCTCAAGATGCTTAGTGTAATTTCTTAAGCAGCATGATATTAGGATAAAAATGTGATCCAAATCACTCCAATAACTTTATGACTTATGATTTATTGGAGTTAAGCTGAGAATGCAATCAGTCAAGAAATGAGGAAAATTAAAATAAGGTTACAATTGTGGTATAACTATGGCAAGAAGAGTGGACTTCTTATTTGTTGTTTCCTTAAACATCTCAGAATTAACTTTAATGCTTTTTTAGGGCTCATGATGAAACCAAAGAAATTCTTGCCAGTTTCATGGTTTTTTCCCTTCCTGTTTTTTCTAATAGATCTATACTATAATTCCCTTAGATATCAGCTAGCCCTCATCAGGCTCCACCATGAACCCTTCTTGTCCCATTTTTTACCTGCTTTCTGTCAAAAGGCATATTGTTTGGTGAACTGAACTTTTTCCTTTTTAAAAGGAACAGTAACTATTTACCAATGTTAAAGAGCTAGGGTTTTCTTTGGTTTTTGACATCCATAATACAACAGTAAAAAGTGTGTTAATAGGAGGAATTTACTTGCAGGTAACCAGGTCTAGCAGTTACACCAAAAAGTCCCAGTTTCAGGTGGAAGAAGAAGATATTGAGAAACTAGAAGTCAGGTAAGTTATGTAGATTAGAAAGTAATTTATTTTATCATTAATAAATCATAGTATTTTATCATCAAGACAATAAAGAAAGGTTTTATTTTAGTGTAACACCAGAGAATTATTGATCAGACTTGTAGAAAAGATCCTTCTAACATATAAAATTACTTGAATTTTTTAGTGTGTTTCTTATTGAAGATGAGGGGGTTTGTTTTTAAGAAAACAGTGGTAGAGTGTATCTAGCAGCCTAAACTTGTTTCCTGTGCCTCTGAGTAAAGAGGCTTGAGGACCTGTCAATATATATTAATCTGGACACAAGATTGATAATAGAACTTGTACTGAAGGATAACAGCATACCTGATGCTAGTCTATGGTTTCAGATGTAGTTGGCCATTTTAGTAAAAGCAGAGGGGAAAAGCCTCTTTTGTGAGATTCTTACGGTTTCGCATTGCTTCTTAGAGGAACATTTGTGTTGCATCTTTTCCTTGCAAATGCAAAGAATACTTCAACGTATATTCACCTTTTCTGCTCTTTTACCCTTAGAGCAGGTCTGTCTGTATTTGTGCTGTGTAGTTAGAACAGTTGAGAGCTCCTGTACTCAGTTTCTTTTCTTTATTGTGCTCGTGCACATACATGCACCAAATCGACTGAATGATAAAGAGACTTCAAGGCTAGCATATGTTTCCTAACAGGCATCAGAAGAAGAATTTAGTGGTTAGTTTTAATAGCCATTATAGAACTAACTTGGTATGTGCATTTTTAACTATTAACTTCATGAATATCTTAATTAGAATTGTATATTTCATTACAGATGCAAATATATTTAGAAAAATAGTCATGCCCCAACAAATCTAGTATTAATTTTTTTTGTTCTTCTTAACAACTGCTGTCTGTCAGAAATGTCAGAGAGGTAAGAAGTAATAGAAAAAACCCAAGGTGCATGTCTGGAGTCTGTGATTCCTTTTGAGGTTGTAAGCATATGAGCTGCTGTTTGGAAAACAAGCGCATGTCTTGGTGTGGCATTGCAGTATGCCAAATTTTAGCAATTAGTTAGGGATATGTAAATATATTGGTTAAAAAGTTCACTTGAATTACCTGAGAAGAAATGTGCACAGTTTTGGGGGTAGAGACTGCTCAAAATACATGTATGTTGCCAATATCACTTTTATTTACTGATGCAAGGTCTGCGAGTCTAACTCTCACTGTTTGTTTCTTTATCTGTTCTTTATGGGTTAATAAGCCACTCGTTTGATTTTTCTTGATTTAATTAGAATGGAGTGAGATTTCTAACATTTCCTGCCTGCGTGCATGTGGATTAGTGCTGTAAGGCAGTTACTGTTAACTTGAAGATTTTTATTTCTCTCTGGGAGGAAAAAAAATTAAGCAATGTTCTTATTTTCAGGGTTGACCTATGGAATAATGGAAATTTGGTACAAGACGTCTTTCTAGGAGAAATTAAAGTTCCTGTGAAGGTGTTAAGAAATGATTCCTTTCAAGCATGGTGAGAAATGGTGGCTCAGAAGTGAATTTGCTTCTGTCTTGCAGATCTTATCTTGCAAAGGATATGTTTTATTCTAACTATCCATTAAATATGTCTTCCTGTTTTAGTCTAGGTAAAACATCTGTCTAGAGAGTTTCCCTGCTCAATAATTAACCTTGCCAGAGGGTACATATAGTTCTTGTCTCCCCCCAGTCTGCCTACTCCCACAGAATAATTCATGCATTTGAGGGGAAAGTGTGGAGAGTGAAGAAAGGGAAGACTGAGCCTAACTATCTTTCAGTCAGCTTGCTGAATTTTAGCGATTTGTGTATGCTTTTCAGCCTAACCAGAATTGCATCTTCTCAGAATTGCATCACTTGTAATTAAATTCCTAACTCAGACTTCCAGAATGACTGATGAAGAGTTTATTTAAAAATAATCATTAAGTATGCCTTTTTTTTTTTTTTTTTTTTTTTAACCTTGCGGAGGTTCAAAAAGTATCTTCTGGAACCAACCCAGTGTCATTTCAGGGGAGCAGGCACAGAAGTTTAAAAGCTGGAAGTGTAAGGCATGAAGGGAATTCAGGGAAGACAGACCTCTGCTTATAACATAGCAGCAACCTCCCTTCTGAAGTTCTTGCAAGTAGGAGCCAATCCCTAGCCCCTTTACTGTCCCAAATGCTTTGTGGCAGGAACTGATCAGTACAACAGATCTGAATGCCTCAAAGTGTGTGGAATATTCTGCTTTTAGTGCACATTTCAGTACAGAGAAAAGAGTGGAGGAAGCCCTCACAAGTCCACGTAGAAAACACATGGGAAGGAAGTGGGTAAATAGGAAGCAAACGGAACACAGGTCTTGGCCAGGAACTATTATGGCTCTCCTCCACGTACCCACCTCAGGCTCCAAGTGTCTTGGACGTGTCAAAGTTGAACTCTGATTCTTAGTCTTGGTGTTTGAATGTGATCCTAAACATAATACATGTTTGTGTCAGTATTTTCAATTTTTTTACACTGTGTATTGCAGACACAGGCTTGTTCTGCCAGTGCTCTGAACTGATCAAAAGCTGGATAACCATATTAACATAATGACATGCCTCCGATAACAACCTGCTGAGAGAAAGGTTATATTAGCATGGACTCATTACCAGTGTATTGTGTTCATATAGCTTTTTGAATTGACCTGACTCATGTCCGGTTCACTTGAAGCATCGATAGAGAGGTTTGTGTCTGCTAATATACTTTGTAGGCATACCTTGTATTGAACATCCTCATATCCAATTATGATCTGCTTATCAAAAACAGTTCTGTGATTAAAAATAACTAATTTTTTATACTATTACTAATTTACATAAAATGTTTTTGAATACAGCTGAAGTACAGCAGATAAAACAGTATCACTAGTACTAAATATTGGGAAAGTAAGCCTAAGAGTCATGCTGTTAAGTAGAGGTTCTCCTTGCAGATCAGTTTTATTTTATGTTAGCATGCCTTCATGAGCAATGCATCTGATTATTAAAAAAAAGTCTGATCTCCTGATTGTAGAAGTACAAATATAAATTATTGTAAAAGAATATTTGAAAATATGATTTCAGTTTGTCAGGCTGAATGTTGAAGCTATACTGTGACACTACTTAAAAGCTGTTAAAATTTTTGTAGGGCTGCACCTCCTGTTGGAATACAGCTGAACTACAGCAAAAGCCAATGAAGAATTGTTTAATAAATTTTGTATTGATAGTAGGAAAAAAGCACAGTTTTTTTCCTTTAATCTTACTTGTTTCTCGGGAATGCAGCCTGTTAACATTACGTATTTTTACTGGTTTCAGACTAGACCATTTAATACTTGACACTAGCTGTTCCATCTGCAATGTCCAACACCCTAAATATAACCTAGACGTAAAATGAAAAGGTCCATATAATTTCTAACTATTCCTGCTATCCCAGTTGAGCTACAAGTATATCCTATTTCACTGTTTGGAAAGATACGAGAAAATAAATATATGATTCATTATGTGCTAAAGGTGCATCAAATGCTGCTCCTTTTTTTTTCTTTTGTGTCTCAAGTTTTTTCATGTGAATTTTATTGCCAGTTTTTAGACTCCATTTATGTATACTGAAATAATTAAATGTGATACTTTGCTTTGTTGTAGAATTAGTCAAATCAATGAAATCTGAATCTAAGATTTTAGAATTGCCCTGTTGCTTTCAGGTACTTACTTCAACCAAGAGAAAATGGAAACAAGTCGTCTAAAACTGATGATTTGGGATCACTTAGATTAAATATCTGTTATACTGAAGACTGTGTACTTCCATCTGAATACTATGCTTCTCTAAGAAACTTGCTGCTAAAATCATCAGATGTTCAGGTACTTTTGTTGGAAATTTCTTTTAAAACGAAAACTTAAAATGAATTATGCAGTCCTGTATGACACAATGTGAATTATGCATATCCAGAGAATTTTTTTGTTCCTTTGCATGAAATACTTCCGTCACAACCAGATGAGCAGCTTGTAGAGCATTTAATTCTGCTCCAAACTACCAAGATTTTCTTCTTATTTTAGAAGAACCAGCAGAGACAGTGAAATAACCTGTGTGACTAGAAGAGATAAAATACTTTCATCTCGTTGGTTGTTTTTTTCAACGTTGTCTTTTCCCACTGGCTGCTATTGGCCCTCTGGATTCAGCGGTTTTCCGGGGCATTATTGGCACTGAAGGGGCAGATAATCACCTTTACCAAAAATGGTCTGCTTCAGAATTGGTTTCTAATTCCACTTCTTCTGAATTGCTTCTGTCTTCACCAGTGTGTTAATCAGCATGACTGGATTTCTCACGTGGACATGGTGACAAAAAGGGAAGTGTGGTAGATGGTTAGCATAGCATTGAGACAGGAATCAAATTATAGTAACCAGGCTTTATATTCCTAGGTCTCTTATAGCCTTTCTTCACGTCAGTATTGGTGAAATACTGGCAGAGGAGAAGAAAGGTAAAGAGGAAGCAGACTCTGACTAAAATTTTTGCTAGCCCATATTTAAATACTACTTCACTGGAATTCAGAAAGAGCTGAGTGTGTAGCTAGCAGCAGTCAGCAGCTGTCTTTTTTACTTAAATGAAATAACTTGATCAGTTTTTGTATTGAAATTCCCAACTGTAGAATGGCGACAGATGCTTTAGAAGTGTGAGAACTGTATTTTAATCTGCTCTGATTATAGTTTTAAAAGTCCTATAAAGATACATGACATTATAGTAAAGCAATTGCTTACTACCTCTTACTTGGAGTTGTGACAAAGCCATACTCTAACCCTTTAGGGAGAATGAGAAGAGTGAGTAGATGCTGAATTTCATTCGTAAATGTCAAGTATAGAGTAGATAATACCAATTTTTCAATTAAGTATTTCTGTAGAATGGAAACTTCTAATTGCCATGTTATACAGCAAAAGTTGAAACTTTCTTTTAAGAAGCTATGTCTATCGTCTTGTTAGATTTGATCTGTACTTTGCCAAATACATGAAGAACATTTAACTACTTCACTCCTGATTTCATATTCTGCTTTCTCACAGCCGATTTCTGCATCTGCTGCCTACATACTGAGTGAAGTTTGTCGAGACAAGTATGATGCTGTTCTCCCTCTTGTACGATTATTGCTACACCACCATAAGCTAGTTCCATTTGTTGCTGCAGTGGCAGAACTAGATCTGAAGGACACCCCGTATGTATTTAATGTTTAGTGATGTCATGCCTTTTAAAATTATTCTTAGCGTTTCAAAGGGCTTCATGATACAACATTGATAAGTAAGCATGTCAAATTTCTTTCTCTCATTATGTAAAACTGACTAAATACATTCATCTTCTAATGCTAGTTTATAAAAACATTCATTAAAATCACATTGAAGCTGGGAGTCAGAGTTAATGATTGTGTGCTAATTGGTAAAATGTTGTAAAATTTTCTTGGAGCTAGTATACAGCTAAACATAGCAAGCTAGCAGTCTGGAGTTGTGTCTAAGAGCACATAGTTTTTATTTTAAAACGTCATCATTTGGCCACTCTTCAAATTTTGCTGAGAATCTCACCCTGTTTCCTTTAGTATGTGACTTAAATGAGAGGTACTTTTTTTCTGCAAAGATGCTTTGTAAGTAAGTACGTGTCCTCCTGTATGCCTTGAAAGTAACAAGCACAGGAGTTTTTCCAAGTAGCAGTGTATGGCCTGTGAATTTGCAGCTCTGTGGTTAGGAGAGAAATGAAGTAGACCTGAGTAGTGGCCACTGAGGTGCCGAGACACGTCCTATGGAGATTTGGAAGGGTTTTTGTCACCACAGGACAAAGCAGACCTATTCCAGATTTAAGTAAGGTGAGACAATTTAACTGTGTAGAAAGAGGTGACTCATGGAAAATAATCCTCTGGACTGCATTTTAGTACACACATTCCTTTCCGTTATAATTGAACTGTAACAAAGATTAAACTAAATCTCTCAGATTAGAAAGATTTACTTTGCACAGCTGGCTCTCAGTTTTCTTCAACAGCTGTAGTGAATAAGAAGCATAACCCTAGATTAACTATGTTTTTGTTAAAGTGTCTGAGTTTATCAGTGTAGTGTAGCAGTATGCTATTTATTGTAGCTCTAAGATTTTTTTCACCAGGACTACTGGAGGAAGAATTGTATATTGGCGAGGTACAAGTCTTCATTATTTTGGAATTTCCTCCAATTGTTCTTTCTCACATTCAGCACTGGATTATAACTTCCGTTGTCTAAAATTTCTTAGGCTTTTCCTTATGGCTTTATTTATATTCCTGGTTTTGGTAATAGCTGTAATAATATTCTTGTTTATTCTTTTTCTGTTCCTGAGTGCCACTGTAAGCTGGATATCTAGGTTCTGGAATTCCTGACTGAAATACAGGGAAAAAATGTTTTCAAAAAATAATTATTTAATATCAAGATAAAGTATTCATCAGATTTTGTAACTGAGCTTCTTATTTTTTCCTGTTCAACTAAAATCAATTCTTTTCTTACAGAGAAGCAAACACGGTCTTCAGAGGCAACTCGTTAGCAACTCGGTGTGTAGATGAAATGATGAAAATAGTGGGGAAGCACTACCTAAAGGTTACTTTGAAACCTGTTATTGATGAGGTAGGTTATCCTACTGAAACTGTTTTCAGGACACTTAGCCCCCTGGGGTATCATGTCTCTCTGATAGGCATTCTTCTTACAGCTCCCTGTGTGGTAGTAATCGCTCAGTTGGGTTAATTCTAGAGGAAAGTTAAATTGAGCAATAATTGGTTAAGTTTAGTGGGAGGAGCTGCTTTTTGTAATTTATGTTCCAGATGCTTGAAAGTAAACAGTCAAGGACAGTTGCTTCAGCCTCTAACACATTGCAGAATTTACCCACATGATGCTTTCTATTATTGATCCATGTAAAAAGGCACACACAAAAGTGAGGATGATTATTTCGTGCTGTTATGGATCGTTAGAACCTATTTAGAGTTTTACCCCTGAATCTGGGACAGAATCTGTTTTTAAATAGGTGCGTTTCCATGCTTTCTGTCTGAAAAACTGAACTTGTATAGTTTTGTTTGTTTGTTTCAGATATGTGAGTCTCCTAAACCCTGTGAAATAGATCCCATCAAATTAAGAGAAGGGGATAATGTAGAAATTAATATGGTGAGTTTCCTAATCTGTTTTTCCTAATTTAAACTTTCTTAAAATCTGATAGAAAAACATTTTAAAAAGCACCTCTGTGTAATGGAAAATGAGTAACGTACAGTAGCGGTACAATTCTCTGATTCCAGAGTAAACAAAGGAAAAGTTGTATTTCTTATCCCTGTTTATGAAAACAGCAAAGGAAAAGTCCAACAGAAAATGGGTCGGGGACGAGAAACTAAACAGAGGATTACAGTCTTCCTTACCAATTTGTTGGGTGTTGTGATTCCTGATGTTCTGTACTCAGCATCTAGATGATGAAGTAGCTAATTAGGACTGCTTTAACACTTTTCATTGAAGTTTTGCTTGCCACTTGCCTGTTACCAGAGGATGAAGTTTAAGGCAATAGTAGCTGCAACAAACTAAATTAATATTCACTAGGTATGCAGGGGAAGTGCTCCTTCCTTGTAAAATGTTGTTGTCAAATTACAAAAACGGGTTTTCATAGATAATTTAATGATATTCACTTACATTAAAGTATATAGGCAGTGTCTGGCAATATACAACTATCTTTTAACACTAGTAATCCCATATAAATCTTATGAGGCTTTTAAAATATGCACTGTAATAAAATACATAATTGAATAGTCAGGCAGTGTTTTGAAAAAGGGAATTGTAGTGTTATGTTTGTGTTCAGGAAAAAAACATAGAAATGCAAGTGTTAATGGTCTGAAAAAATACCTTTTTTCATAATTGCAGGAAAATCTACGCTATTATGTAGACAAAGTATTCCGTGAAATTGTACGGTCAAGTATAAGTTGTCCTACCCTAATGTGTGATGTTTTTTATTCTTTGAGGCATCTGGCTGCTAAAAGATTTCCAAGTAAGTATTCTCTAAAAACTTTTGAAAATGGTGTTCAGAGTAAAATACTTAACTTCTGCGGTTACCTTATGGGGATTGTTAAAATTCTTGCCTTGTCCAAAGCTTGCCTTGTCCCTGAACTTCATACCTTGACAATATGGCATTTGTTTTTCTGTCAGTCTGTAAGTTATAGTAAAGCCTTGTGGTCAATCAGCAACAATTTTGTGTTTTCTGATACAAAAATGTAGCAAGTCAGAAACACTGCAAAACAGCAGTAAATAAGAAGTCAGCAACAAAAGTATGAGGTACTAGAAGAAAAGCACAAGTAATACAGGAAGTGATTTAGTTGAAAGATATGTAAAATTTGGAAGACCTGATCTGTTCATTGCTTCTAAAGAAGCAAGATGTAAACTTGAAAATAAATTCAGTATTTACATCTTAACTACCTGAACTGCGACTATGTTAACTATGACTAGCACATTCATAACTTAAGTGTCCAGCTTTACTACTTATGGGTAGTTTTGGGGAGGGTGGTTAATGTGACCAGTATTAGAACAAGTTTTACTCCTTCAGAATGGTTTTAATACAGGAATAATGTGGTGGGTCTGAAATACTCTTATACTTCAGTCAATTAAAATCTGAAATGTCATATAATAAGCTACAAAGGAAGAATATACTTCTCATAATCTGGAGCCTTTCTTTGATTCATGTTTGTCACTGGAACTGACTCCATAACGTCTCTAGTTAAGACAATCCTTTCAGAATAGCTAACTTCCCAGGCAGATCAGAATGAAGTGGTCATTAGAGTAAGAATGTGATACCACTATATTTCCCGGTATAAAGCTGTAAATATACCCAAAATATTAAATAAGAAAAATCCTCATTTACAGCATCAAAATTATATAGTGCCATGGTTTTATGATGCAACTCAGAATTGGAGTTAAAGTTGTTCATATGAGTTGACTGCATTTGTTGTGCAGCATTAACGCATTTGAGTTGATCAGTGATTAGCTTTACGGGTGAATAAACCCTATAGCCCTAGTGTTTAAAGGTAACTGCTACAGTGTTTTCTCTTTTGGTTCAATGTGCTTACAGCCATACCTCATCAACACTGTGTAAATGCTTGCAATGATCTCATCGTTCCTAGTAGTGGAGCTGATGAGCCAGTTTTATGAGAACAGAACTTGTTTTCGGAGAAATAAACCCTCCATTATAAGTAGAATATTTCTTACCATGATCACCTTTCTCATTTCATGCACTTCATTGATTTTTCTATTCTGTTTTAAAATATAAATGTCTCCTCTGATGTTATCTTCTTAAGGATTTTTATGTTGACTGTCTTCATTATTTCCTATTAAGTTTAGTGCATGTTACATTTCATGGTTTTTCTCTGCAGATGACCCTCATGTACAGTATTCTGCAGTGAGCAGCTTTGTGTTTCTTCGTTTCTTTGCTGTAGCCGTAGTCTCACCTCATACTTTTCATTTACGACCTCACCATCCAGTAAGTTTCGTGAAGCTTTGTTCTGTTTTATTCATAACTGTCAGATCTGTTTATCTGGGAAGGCATAAGTTACTTTCAGTGGGTCTGTAACTGGGAATAAGATTACTAAACATCTCTAGGTTGAGTTCTCAATTTTATACTTCACAAAAGGAACTAAGACATTTGCAGTTCTTTAAGCATCAAATTTCTCAGTCTTTATGAGGTGTTCTCAAATGATGTAGAAGAGCCACGGATATTAAAGACACTGTGCCTTTTTTGGGAATGTGCTGCTTTGTTAGAATAGCAGCATGACTGAGGGTTCTTTAAGGCATATGCCTAAACTGCATTGGTTCCTTCCACTGTGGAAGTTAAATATCCAGATGTCACCTTTACTTTTAAAAAATATTTCCATTTGTGTGTTAAGCAGAGGTTGTAGAGTTATCCAACAATTGGTCTGTGTATTTATTCTGGACTCCACTAGTTGCAGTGGGTTGCCAAATCTTCCATTTTCAGTTTTCAAATTGTCAAGTAGATATGCATAAAAAAATAATCTTCAAAGACAGGAATATGGAGATAAGAGAAAAATACTGTATTATTTTCACATAAAATACAGAATATGTATGAAAACTTCTGCTCCAGAGGTTATCTTTATTAGCTTATTTTATCTACTTAAGTGTGTTGTGCTTTCAAAAGAAAAAATCTACTTACTTACTGAAATTCATTCCAGTTCATTGAGTAAAAAGATTACAGGATTTTATCACTTGAGGGTTAAACATTTTAAAGGGAACAGCAAGACCCCTGTCTGTGGCTGTGTTTATAATCCTGTACTAAAACGCAAGCAGTGAGGTAGCAATCAAATTAGGCAAAAGCCTTAAAGACCAAGTTTTAAGTTCACTTTGTATCATGAAAATTTCTACCATTTGTCCAGCAATAGTTCATTGTGTTTAGTGTCAAGTGTTGAATAGTCCAGAAGCATTTGATGTGTAGTAAAAATTACAGGATTTGAGGGGGGGTTGAGATGTTTTATAGGTAAAAATATTTTTCCAGACACTAATTCTAAATTCTAGTGGTAGTGAGTAAAATATTAAACACTGTGCAGTAGCTTGTAAAATATACATATATTCACAAAGCACAAGTGCTAATAGAGGACAATACTGCATACACATTTCTTCTCTTTGGGTGAATAAGAAAAGGAGTAAAGATGTGTCAGACTTACTACATTGTGTAATACCATATTTTTTGTGACATTTTCATTTTTAAACCAAAGTTTTACCTGGAATTGTGAGGAAAAAAGTGACTTCTTAATTTTGTTTCTTTATTTTAGGATGCACAGACTTCTAGAACATTAACTCTTATATCAAAAGCCATCCAGACTTTGGGGAGTTGGGGAAGTTTGACCAAAAGCAAACTTGTAAGGCTACTAAAATTCTTTCTTATTTCATAGACAACATTCCTTGAAAGTTTGTTTATGTCAATATACCTTTTCTTTCAGTCAAGTTTCAAGGAGACATTTATGTGTGAGTTTTTCAAAACATTTCAAGAAGAAAAATTTACTGAATCTGTTAAAAAGGTACCTTTCAACTATATTTTTTTTTTATGGTTGATGTATCTGATCAGTCTTAATTATTAGAAGGTTGTGTTATTGTTCAGTTTTCTACTAGAGAGAAAAAGAAAAGTCGTGGTCCATTTCAGAACTTCTTAAAAAAAAGAAAAAAACACACATCCACACAATCGAATACACAGGAGTTATACATAGTGGAATAAGCTAATTTAGTTTAAAAGAAGACGTATAATTTTTTTGAAACAGACTTTATTAGATCTGCTGTTTAGGAACTAATTAAAGAAATCTTGTGTGGCTTATGGGTATCCCTTGTTACATTGTTGCAAGTCCCTGCAATATATTTTCATTTCATCTGTTGCATAAAGTAATTGTTCTGTTATGGGAGAAACTGTACATGTATATTTTCAAAATGGCTTTTGGTTGTTCTGTGTTTCTGAATAGTATACATTCCCTGTGTATTTTTCTTTAAGTTCCTAGATGATGTTTCCTCTACTGAAAGTAGAGAGCCCAGTGGTCTGAGTGAGCCAGTACATCTAAAAGAAGGGTAAATACGTCTTGAATCTATATCGTGCAAAACAGAATTGACTTTACTGTTTTTTCATTAATGCCCACATCAGATTAATGCTCATTAAAATGTTTGATATACTGTAGAAATTATTATATTTGTAATTTGTGATAATTCTTTGTTAGTTTGCAGAATTAGTTTAAACCAACAGCTGTAAACTTACATAACTCATCTTTTAAATACTTTGGAAAAAGTAATGAAAAGGAGCTTAAAACCTATTGAAGCCTGTCTGCATTTCTGTTACAATTCAGTGTGTGCTCTGTGATGGTTTATTCAGGATTGTTAAAGTGTATTTTAAAGGAACGGATTAATTTAATTTAGAATTACTTTGCATGCTGTTTAAGCCCAGCCACCTAAATGCTCTGCCTTTAAAGTAGGCGAAAAAATTACCCTGTAATTGGAATCCTTAACGGTAAATGATAGAATGCTTTTATAAAAATTTGAGGTGAAAATCACTCTTTCTAAGAAATGAACTGTCCTTTTTTTGATGTTGATCAAGAATAGCTGATGAATTAATTCAAACAACATTTATGGGGAAAAAAATATTTGTATTTACCTGAGAGGCAGATTCATAGCAAGTAAAGATTCTTCTGTGAAACAACTATCCAAATTTCAGACAAGGAAGAAATGTATACCTCTTATTAAAATACTAAATAGAAATGAAGGAGACAATTGTAGTGGATCAACACTTAGTTATAGCAATTTAGAAGCTAATCTGTATTATAAATGGATGACTGTTGCTCAAAAAAAAATAGTTGCCAGTGAGTACTATGTACTAAAGTGTACTGAATACAGTTTGTGTCTACCCTTGCTATTGAGTCATGTTCAGTGTCATTTCATTTACGTTCAGTTTCTGATCCAGATAAGGCCAAGTACATTCACATGTAGAAAGTGGCAGGGAAGAGAGTATCTTGTAGCTGGATACACCTTACTCCCTTTTGGGAAAATTTTGAGTTCTGGATCTGAATAAGTAAGTACCCACTCCAGATTTACTGCTACAAACAAGAGTCTGGACTGTATGTTTTTCAAACTCCTTTCCTGTTTATGGAACTCTGTACATGATCACCATATTGGGAGGTAATCTTGAGGGTCTATTTTGAACAACTTGTAGATTTTTTTTTTTTTTCTTAAATATCTACAATGAAGTAGATTTTTATGTTGCTGCGTGATGAAAAATAATGGGTTATCTCAATAAATGGTTTTGAAAGCTCTTCAGACTAATGGTTGCATTTCATTTGATTCTGCCTTTACAGAGAAATGTACAAAAGAGCTCAGGGAAGGACTCGGATTGGTAAAAAGAATTTCAAGAAGCGATGGTTTTGTCTAACAAGTAGAGAATTCACCTACCACAAACAGCAAGGTAAATTATGTTTATTTTACAATTATTTTTATTTTCTCAATATTTTCTAAGTGTTTGCATCTGATTTGTGCTTTTTAAAATGCATAAATTTTTTCTTTTCCTAAAGTACATGTGATATGTTTTAGTTACCTTTGCCCTCATTACCAAATGCTTCTGTCTGATTCATGTACATTTTCTCAATAATAAAAATGCACATTTTGAGAACTTAACCTACAGTATCAGTGCACTGAGGTTATAAAACAGTCTTCTAAAAATCACTTCACTCACCTGTTTACAATTTTTTACAGATAAAGAACCAATTTTCACTATTCCAATCAAAAACATTCTTGCAGTGGAGAAACTTGATGAGAGCTCCTTCAACAAGAAAAATGTGAGTCAAAAGATAGTTTATATGTAATTCTTCATGTGTTCTTTAAATAAAAGATTATAATTAGCTTATAGAGTTACTGAAACCCTATTACTAAACACTTCAGCAAAAAATCTTTTTTGGATCAGGAATAAAAAGCTGTATGCAGTATTCCCAAGTACTCTGAACATGGAACTTAACCTGGAGATTTGGATCTCTGCACCAACTTTTCTGACTGATTTTATGACTTCTGCCCCCCTTTCCAAATTTCTGGAATGAAGGTTAAAACTACTGTGACCTTATTATAAAGCACTTTTATGTAAGATATTAGTAGTATGTATTATATTACGCTCTACTAGAAATGTAATATTACCAAACTTATACTTATTCCTTTTGATGAGAACTTCCTATAATACCTTCATCAGCTGAGACAGTTGTCTGTGCTCACAGCCTCATTCTGGACCTGTAACACATCAGTGTTTCTGCTGTTATTTCAACCAAAAATTCTGAGGCAGTGATAAAAGTACAGCTGTTACTTAGGCTGAGGATGGGTAAAGGATAGACTTCTGGGAATCTTCTGTTACTCTCAGGATACGAAGCATGAAGTCTGAGGTCACATTTAAGGATATGTGAATGAAGAGGACATAAAATGCATCATGTTCTAATTCTTTAAGGATTCTTTTTTGGATGAGGAAGTGGTGTAGGCGGAACACAAGGAGCTGTTTTGTTTGTTTTTTTGTTTTTTTTTTTTTTTCTCCTGAATAGGGCTGTATAGTAAAATGAAAGAGGTGAAAAGTCGTCTTTTCTGCCTTGTCTCACTTTCTGCCTTAATTTGGCTTTGTTGAATTGCCTGAGCTTTGAAATCTATTTTGACATATTCAAAGTTGATCAATAATTGGATTTTTTTTACTGAGCAGAGTACTGTTGCGTTCCTTCTACAGATGTTTCAAGTACTACATGGAGAAAAGCCACTATATATCCAAGCAAATAACTGTGTAGAAGCTAGTGAGTGGATAGAAGCTCTTTGCCGGGTAACGAGGTGCAACCAGAAGAGGCTTAGTTTTTACCATCCTTCTGCTTTTCTGAATGGGAACTGGCTTTGCTGCAAGGCTACAATAGAGAACACAGTGGGCTGTGCTCGTTGCACTGCGTAAGTTGCTTCTCAAGTGAAAATACATATGTTTTGTAGGACAAAAATGCATGATTCACTATACAACTTGAAAATCTGAAGGCAAGGCTTTCCCTGTCTACTTTAGCAAGTTACACTACTAAAAACATACCTTACTGATAAGGCCCGAAGTACTGGATTTTACTAAGTCTATTCCTTCATCAGCCACCATATGAAATGAAGGTAACCAATTCAGCATGTAAGTCAGAAATATGGAATAGTTGATTTCTTTCCACACAGAATAATAGATTTAATAGCTCAAGTTTATTCAGATGCCAGGGTGAATGCAGAAATATGACATGCCTAGGTCATCTATATGAAATAATTGAAATACCTTGCTGTAGAGGGCTCAGCCTGGAAGTGTCTTTCTTCCCCTAATGACATTGTCTTGTTTGATACAGTCACTTTTTTATTTTAACCTCACATATTTTAACACACAGAAAATCAACTAAATAATCTTGGATGTAGATTCTGACAAATCATTTGGGTTTTGTAAGTATGTCACGAAAACGAATAATGTCTTATAATGCCTTATTAATGCCTTTCTTTAAGCTGCTGATTTCTGAAAACAAACAAATGCTCTGATCTTTTTTAAAAATAAACTTATCCTTAACTGGATAGGTTGCATAAATTACAGACTAAAGATCTCAGTCAGTCTTCTAAAATTCAGTATAAGTCCTACAGGATAACTTTCTGAAAATATATATAATACTTTTCCCATGTTATTCAGTTCATTCCTATATTAGGTTTCTCAACAGTTCAAAAGATTCCTGTTACTAAATTAACTTTTGGTTGTTTTTGTCTTTCTGGTTTTTTTAACTGTTCTGGTTTACGAATGAATCTTGTCCTTCTGTTCTGGTTACCTTTCAAGTATAGTAGACTTTAAAAGAAGTGTTTAATTGTCATTTAATAACAATTAACCTTACTTTGACATTTTTGAAATATTTTTCTCTTGACATACTGAATAATAAATTCTATTGGAAAAAGCAATTTTTATTATTGCTGTATTCATTGCCCTCAAAACTGTATATGCCTGTTTCTATAGAACACTTGCAACAAATGCTAAGTTTTGTGTAGCAATTGTGAAGCTGTCTGTGAGCGATAGATGTATTAAAAGGCTAAGTATATTGAAACAGAATCGGTTTTTACTTGCTTTCAAACCTTTTAAGAATGACTTATATTGACTACCCGTCTCTTTTTTTCACCTTTTAGAGATGTTCC